GTTCTTGGCCACACACGCGCTCCGCACCGCATCAGGCCAGAAATAGTCGGGTAGCCCGGCTTCAATGAGCAACCCGCGTGCCGCCTCCGTGATTGTGCGGTTCGCTCGCTCGGCGATGCCGTTCATTGCAGGGGAGTATGGCATGGTGAGGGAGTGCCGAATACCATTCTTCTTCAGCCACAACCCAAACTCCTTGCTCAGGAACTCTCCCCCTCGATCGGTGCGGATTGACTTGACTAGACGGTCTTGTTGCCGCTCCACCATCGGGAACCAATCCGTCTTCAACGTTTCAGCCACGTCGCTCTTCTTGGCCAGCACGTACACCCAAGTCATGCGGGTGTAGACGTCGACAATGGTGAGAAAATACTCAGCTCCAGCAGCTCCAAGCTTCAGGGGGCCCACCACGTCCATCACCACCTCATCAAGCGGTGCCTTTGCCGTTGCCTCCGAACTAGGGAACGGAAACCGGGTGAACTTGGCTTGAATGCACGTCGGGCAGCCAAGCACCTCATCGGGCTCCCCCTTCACACGTATGCCAGCAACCATCTCATTCTTCACTAGCTGCTGCAAGATGGGCAGGGCCACATGCCCCATGCGCCGATGCAAGGTGAGCCAATCACACTCCCCCGTAGCCGAAGTTGGATTGGAGAATGCCGCGCTCGCAATAGCGCCCCACATACTCTGTCCGTAGTCCTCCTCCGCTGCTGCCTCTGGGTTCTCCTCACCCTTTTGCTGCTCCTTGGTTGCTGCACCACTCTCCTTAGGTTCACTGAACTTGCTGGTCCCTCCAGGTTTGCTCTTCTTGAGCTCATTCTCCTTAGCGCGACCGTTCGCGCCATCGTCGCTACCGACCGCTCCATCCTTGGTGCTGATGCTTGCTGCCACTTGCCTCTCCTTAGGCATAGGGACCACTGGGATCTGCCACATCTCGTTGTAGACATCCCTGTCCTCATGAAGGTCCCAAAGAATTCGATCGCCAAGCCTTGCGGTGTAGGTCTTGGCTCCCTTCGAGTTCGTGTCCATGCCGGCCTTTGCCAACCGCCGCACGGAAATCAGGTTTGCAGCAAGGCTGGGCACCCAAAGCACGTTCTTGAGGCCCACCATCTTCCCATCAGCACCCTTGAACATGGCCTTGCCCATGCCTTTCACCTCTGCTCGCTGCCCCAAAGCCGATGTGACATGCTTCACCGGTGACGGCTCGAGTTCGGTGAGCAAGTCCGGGCGAGGTGTCATGCTATAGGTAGCGCCACTATCAATCACCCAATAGTCCAGGGGGTGTAGGGTCACCTTCCCCACAGCTGCTGGCTCCTCAAAGCCTTCATCCTTCTCTGGACCAGCCGGTACTTGCGTCGACACGAAGTAGAATAGACCCGGGTATCGATCGTCGCTCGGGTCCTTGTCGTTGTCTCCGCTCTTCATGTTTGCAGCTCCGCCACCGCGACCGCCACGGCCTCCACGGCCTCGTCCTCTCCCTCCTCCTGCTCCTCTACCCTCTTGGCCTTGAGCAGGGGTCCAACCATCAGGGAGTTTGTAGCAGTCGCGCCACATGTGTCCGCTCTTGTGGCAATAGTGACACTCGCCGTCGAATCGGCCGCGACCGCGTCCGTAGCTCTTGTCGTTGCTGCCGTAACCGCCACTCCTGCGGCCTCCGCCGAAGTTGCTGCCACCAAACCTTCCTCCCCCTCGTCCTCTGCCTCTTCCTCGACCATATCCACGGCCGATGCTCGCTGCCCCAGCGCCATCCGCACTCGCCAACTCACGGCGGCGGAAATCCTCTTGAAGGATAGCTCGCTTCACGTCTTCAAGCGAGAGGCGGGGCAAGTCGCGATTAAGGTTGATGATGAGCGAGGACCATGACTCTGGGAGTAAGGCCAGCAACTTGGTCTTCTTTTGGAGCTCACTGTAGTTCAAATCAGCTCCCTCAAGCCGCGTCAACAAGTCGAAGAATTTCTGCACCCCTTCTTCAACCGCTTCGTCTTCTTCAATTCGTAGTGCCGCCATTTGCCGTTCCAACACCACCGCTACCGCCGCTGTTGCAGGAGCATGTACACCCTTGAGAGCAGCCCATGCCTTTGGTCCTTTCTCTGGTTCACGCTGGAATGGCTTGATGTGACGGATCTGACTGCTCCCCAACGCTTGCCCAAGTAAGAGATAGCCTTGTGCGCTCTTCCGCACCCACGGGCTCTTCTCCGGGTCGTTCTCGGGGCGCTTCTCCGTTCCTTCCATCACCTCCAGCAGGTCATAGTGGTCAAAGATGTTCTCCATCTTGAAGGACCATTCAGCAAAGTTGTCACCGTTGAACTTGTCAAGCCCAAACACTCTAGGCTCATCCCTAGGTGGGCCAAGACTTGGTTACATGGGCGCCATGGCTGAATCACGGGGTTGGCCTTGAGCTTGAGCTTCTCCACTGCCACCAGCACCTCTGCCACCCCTTTCCTCAGGTCCAGACATTGTCGAAACTGCTCCAAGGGGCTCTGATACCACTTGTTATAGTCACAATAGGCTTGAATGTGCCTAAAACGAAAGATAGAGAGCACAGACGGATTTCTGCACAGCGGCTTCAAACGTTGATAGCGTTCTGCTCACAGCTGCAAATGACTTGATTCAAATTGGATCTGGAGCGTCTTCACGTCGTCTACAATTATCAATTTAGATTGCACGATTTGATAAAGAATTGACGACACAGCGTCGGTTTGAACGAACGGTACTATGGCAGCCACTATAGTCTTAGAACACAAGATTGGAAGAGTTAGCAAGGGTTACGAGTTGGGAATGACTCCCAGCTCCTACAAACCCCAAGAGCCGAGGTACAGTGATGTGGAACAGTGCCACACTGTCCCCAACCACGAAGGGTCTCGAAACTACCCTTCACTAGGGCCTACACCAAGTGAAATGTTACACTACACAAAGTAATGTAACTATCTTCAATATCTTGAGGTGTACCCTTTTTGGCGAGCTTCGAAATCACTTGAGGCTTGACACCAAGGCTCGGGCTCTTCATCACAAACTCATCCTTGAGTTCTTGATGGGTCTGCTGCACACACCTGCGACACGCCGAACGTTCGACACAGGACAAAATAGAAACCGCGCACGACAAAATAGAAACCGCGCGCGAGACACAAACGACCGCGTAACACGCGTCTAGCGATAACTCGCTATTGACTCGACACACACACTCGACATCATGACTCAACATTCACACACAATTATAAGCATGAAATATATATTATCCCATGCCCTCATACCATTCCATACACACACACATTCACGCACACGGACAACAAGCCGAGTGCAAACCGTAGGGTTGCACCAACAGCGGCTTCAGCGGCATCGGCGACGGCAGTGTCGATTCGCCGGTCGGCACAGAAATCGTGATTCGAGGTTGACTCCTGGCTGCATTCGTCGCTTCGGGGTGTGTCGTGCCGTGGTCGTCGTCTCCGTCGTGGCGGACGACGCCATCACTGGCCGCGCTCGCGGGTTGCCCCACACTTCCGTGTTGCGATGCCTGTGGTGCGGGTTGTACCGGAGTGCCGGATGCTTGTGATTGTGCTTGTTGTGCTCGTGCGACATCGTTCTGCAGGGAAGTGCGTTCCGCCGTCAGCGCCGCGATTTCTTCGGAGTTTTTGTGGAGTTGTCGCAGCAGCTCGTCCAGGCGGTCCAGCGTGAGTGTCGTGACGTCGATGTGTTCGGCCATTACGAAGGGTGTCGGCTCGACTTAGTCTAGGCGCAGTCGTGGCTGCACGCGTTTACGAGAGAACGCGAGGACAGCAGCTCCTAGAGGCTAAGGTGCGTGAGTCCCTTTAAGTGAAAAATCAAAAGTTGATTTCCTGGGGTGCGGAGATGCGCGGTCCGAAAAGAAAGAGGCTTTGAATACGAAGTGTTACGGGTGCAATGAATCGAGGTATCGAGGATTGCACTAAGTGTCAAACGAGTACACAATGTGAGCGAAGGCATGAGCAAACATTTATACGCGAAACATGCAAACGGTAACGCGTGCGAGCTAGCTAGTGCTAGGCTGGCATCGAGGCTCGGGCTACTCTAGAAGCGTAGGCCGACACGGCCGGGCCAGCGGTGCATGGTTTGGTGAAAACAGTGTGCGCGAAGTCGGCGAAGCCCCGTTAGCAGTAACGGGCGAACAACGGCTGCTGCTCTACGCTGTGTTGCAGGATGCACTAATGTCGAGAAAATTCCGCGGCCAGTGCTTCTCTGCATGGCTTGATTTCCAAGAACGTCCACACCGTTCAGTCTACCCCGCTATAGAGCAGTGGGAGGCGCAGAGCGTACAGCATCAGAGCAGTGGCGTGGCGCGAGGCGGTCCGTCTAACGATCGTGTAGTTTGAACAGGGAGCCTCCCTGTACGTTGCCGGCCATGCGTCTTCGACGTCCGCGCGTCGCGTCGGGCCCATTCCACTTTAACGACTAGTCCGCTCACCCCACGCCACCCCGAGTCAAATAGTGATCAAATTGTGATCTTGCGAGCGAACATGTAATGGCATTACCAGGAATCATGCGCAAGGGGTGATGCCAATGGACCAAAGCAGGGCGATCGTCTGCTCGCGCCATCACATCTGCTGAACCGTTTCTTCGCCCCGCGCGCACACATTGCGCACACACCCGCGTCTCCCAGACCAGTCAAGACCACAGCGCAGTTGCCAAGGGCTCACACGCCAGAATCCCGGCTCTACACCGTCCCTCCCTTTTCCCCACCCTCCGCTCTCCGCATGCTGCCTCACCGCGTGCGCGTGAGGGACTTCGCGGCGGCGCGCTCGTCGGAGTTCGCCGCCCTCTACGCCGCGCTCGACCGCGCGCGCGCCCCAACGGTCGGCGCTGCCGCCAATGCGCCTGGGGCCGACCCACGCGGGGAGCGGAACGGCCGAGCGGATAGTGCGGCGGGAGATGCGGCGGAAGGCCGCGGAGGAGGAAGCGAGGGGCGTTGCGTGGTGGGGCGGCGCGAGTGGGGCGCGCGGCGACGGCGCGATCGAGTGGCCGTGAGGCACGGCATGCCGCGGCACCTGATCCGACGGACCAGCAGCTTCGTGCGGCGCGGGGGAGCCAGAAAGAGCGGGGCGGGCGGAACGAAGGGGGTGGGCGGAACGAGCGGGGCGGGCGATGCACGTGAGGACCTGCGACGAGGGCGCGGGGGCTTGGCGCGAGTGGTCGCGGGGCAGGTTCGCCGAAAGCGCGTCAAGGTCACGGCACTGGAGGGACACGTGGACAGGGGGGCGCGGGGCGCGGAGGAGGAGGAGGGAGGGGAGGCGCAGAAGGATGCAAGAGAGTGGGGGGAAGGGGAGACGGAAGGAGAAGGCAAGGCGTGCAGGCGAGTGCGCAGATGGGCGCAGGCGAAACGGGTGAAGCAGGGGGTGGGGGGAGGGCGGGCGTGGAACGAAGGGGGGAGCCACGGGAGGGCGAGGCGGGTGGCGAGTCACATGTGGCATGCAAAGCGATTCCACATGGCGGACACGTGGGGTTACAGGCTGGCATCGAGGCTGCATGGCAGGTGCGGCCGCATGATGACATGTGCGGTGCAGCACAGAGCATCCATCATGTGCGGTGCAGCACAGAGCATCCATCATGTGCGGTGCAGCACAGAGCATCCATCATGTGCGGTGCAGCACAGAGCATCCATCATGCCCCGTGCTCGCGCCACTGCTCCATTCCTTGTCCCATCCCCTGTCTACTCACTTACCAGTTCGTTCCGTCTCTCGCCCCTGTCGCCCCTCCCTGCGCGTGCAGGGGCCGTGGCAGCCGGGCGGTGGTGGAGGCGGTGGGCAGGGCGGCCGTGCTGCACGACGCGTCGTACCACTCCGCCATCCAGCTCACTGGCGCGCAGGTGGGCTGCCCACTGCTAGCTTGCTGTTCCATGTCGCACTTCCCACCATGTCGCACTTCCCACCATGTCGCACTTCCCACCATGTCGCACTTCCCACCATGTCGCACTTCCCACCATGTCGCACTTCCCACCATGTCGCACTTCCCACCATGTCGCACTTCCCACCATGTCGCACTTCCCACCATGTCGCACTTCCCACCATGTCGCACTTCCCACCATGTCGCACTTCCCACCATGTCGCACTTCCCACCATGTCGCACTTCCCACCATGTCGCACTTCCCACCATGTCGCACTTCCCACCATGTCGCACTTCCCACCATGTCGCACTTCCCACCATGTCGCACTTCCCACCATGTCGCACTTCCCACCATGTCGCACTTCCCACCATGTCGCACTTCCCACCATGTCGCACTTCCCACCATGTCGCACTTCCCACCATGTCGCACTTCCCACCATGTCGCACTTCCCACCATGTCGCACTTCCCACCATGTCGCACTTCCCACCATGTCGCACTTCCCACCATGTCGCACTTCCCACCATGTCGCACTTCCCACCATGTCGCACTTCCCACCATGTCGCACTTCCCACCATGTCGCACTTCCCACCATGTCGCACTTCCCACCATGTCGCACTTCCCACCATGTCGCACTTCCCACCATGTCGCACTTCCCACCATGTCGCACTTCCCACCATGTCGCACTTCCCACCATGTCGCACTTCCCACCATGTCGCACTTCCCACCATGAGTCAGAAGTTTGCCACTCTGCTGTTTCAGAAGCCACGAGGCGGTTCACTTGCCTCCCGCCCTCCCCCAACCCCCTTTCCTTTCTCTCCCTTTTGCCCTCTTTCTGTGGCGCGTTGTGTCTCTGATTCCTGCTCTCTCTTTAACTTCCCTTCTTCCTCTCACCCAGAAAATCTTCTGTCTACCCATTCCCCTCCCATGCACCCGTCCATTCATCCACCACCCCTCCCCCCGCCCAGGCGGACATCTCCGCTCTGCTCGCCTGCTGCACTTCCCCAGGCGCACTCCCCCTCGCCTCTCGCCCCGCGCCTGCCACCCCTCACACGGCGCATGCTGCACGCACAGACAGGGGTGATGGAGGGGCGGGTGAGGCGGCACGGGGGGAGGCATGGAGGCGGGGAGTGCTGGAGCTGAGAGCGCTGGTGAGAGAGGGGGGCACGTGTGGTGGGAGGGGGAGGCAGGTGTGGTGAGACTGTGACTGCCGTGGTGGCTCTTTCTAGCTCTGTGATTGCATTGCTGTGGGTTGATAGCCTTACATGCTACAGCATTTACCACTTTGACCTTTATATGTGGCAGCCACTGCGTGTTACACCTTGCGGCTCTTCTGTGCCCGTGATACCTCAACTGGCACGGCAGTCTGCGCGAGCATGCCTCATCCTCCACCCCCCAACAATCCAAGCGTCACCATCATCCTCCTCATTTTCCCGCATCCCACACCTCCTCTCTCCTGCACAACCTCACCCGTCCCCCATCTCCACTGTCCCCCATCTCCACTGTCCCCCATCTCCACTGTCCCCCATCTCCACTGTCCCCCATCTCCACTGTCCCCCATCTCCACTGTCCCCCATCTCCACTGTCCCCCATCTCCACTGTCCCCCATCTCCACTGTCCCCCATCTCCACTGTCCCCCATCTCCACTGTCCCCCATCTCCACTGTCCCCCATCTCCACTGTCCCCCATCTCCACTGTCCCCCATCTCCACTGTCCCCCATCTCCACTGTCCCCCATCTCCACTGTCCCCCATCTCCACTGTCCCCCATCTCCACTGTCCCCCATCTCCACTGTCCCCCATCTCCACTGTCCCCCATCTCCACTGTCCCCCATCTCCACTGTCCCCCATCTCCACTGTCCCCCATCTCCACTGTCCCCCATCTCCACTGTCCCCCATCTCCACTGTCCCCCATCTCCACTGTCCCCCATCTCCACTGTCCCCCATCTCCACTGTCCCCCATCTCCACTGTCCCCCATCTCCACTGTCCCCCATCTCCACTGTCCCCCATCTCCACTGTCCCCCATCTCCACTGTCCCCCATCTCCACTGTCCCCCATCTCCACTGTCCCCCATCTCCACTGTCCCCCATCTCCACTGTCCCCCATCTCCACTGTCCCCCATCTCCACTGTCCCCCATCTCCACTGTCCCCCATCTCCACTGTCCCCCATCTCCACTGTCCCCCATCTCCACTGTCCCCCATCTCCACTGTCCCCCATCTCCACTGTCCCCCATCTCCACTGTCCCCCATCTCCACTGTCCCCCATCTCCACTGTCCCCCATCTCCACTGTCCCCCATCTCCACTGTCCCCCATCTCCACTGTCCCCCATCTCCACTGTCCCCCATCTCCACTGTCCCCCATCTCCACTGTCCCCCATCTCCACTGTCCCCCATCTCCACTGTCCCCCATCTCCACTGTCCCCCATCTCCACTGTCCCCCATCTCCACTGTCCCCCATCTCCACTGTCCCCCATCTCCACTGTCCCCCATCTCCACTGTCCCCATCTCCACTGTCCCCCATCTCCACTGTCTCCCATCTCCACTGTCCCCCATCTCCACTGTCCCCCATCTCCACTGTCCCCCATCTCCACTGTCTCCCATCTCCACTGTCCCCCATCTCCACTGTCCCCCATCTCCACTGTCCCCCATCTCCACTGTCTCCCATCTCCACTGTCCCCCATCTCCACTGTCCCCCATCTCCACTGTCTCCCATCTCCACTGTCCCCCATCCCCACTGTCCCCCATCTCCTCTGTCTTGTCTCCCATCTCCACTGTCTCCCTTCGTCCCCATCCGAATAGCTCTGCTCCGTGTCGAGTGATACCAGCAGCAGCGACGTGATTGGTCCGGCCAGTTTCATGTGGCAGGCAGTGGCGTGTGCGGCAGAGCAAGGGTGTGATGGTGCTGCTCGTGCGCCTCGTGCCACCGCTCGTGCGCCGGGTGCCACCGCTGTCCTTGGTGCTGCTAGCGGTCAGGGTGGCGGGGGAGAGAGAGGCGGTGGGGAGGTGAAGGGAGGGCAAAAGGACGAGGGGTTTGGATGGAAGCAGCGGCGGAGAGAGAAGCAGGGGCGGCGCAAGCAGGAGCAGCGGCGGCAGAGGTGCGTGTGGGTGTGGGTGCATGCCCTCATGCTGCCCGACGCCCTGGCCGCCCTCACAGCCGCCAGTCAGCAGCTGGACCAGGAGAGCAGCAGCGAGCAGAAAGGGTGGAGGCGGAGGCGGGTGAGTGTGGAGAGCCGTGAGGGCGAGCTGTGTCGGCTGGAGGTGGCGGGGCGAGCTGCCCTCCCCCTGCTGCTCTCCGTGCTGCGCCCCTCCGCCCCTTTCAACACCCTCTCCCCCGTGCTGCTGCCGCTACCCTTCCCTGCTGCTGCTGCCCCTGCCGCCTCTGCCTCCCGTGCTGCCCCCACCTCTGCTTCGCCTGCTGGCCGCTCTGCCTCGTCCGCTGCAGCATCAGAGCGCCTGCAGCAGTCAGAAGCGTCCTGGAAGGTGCTGGCAGAGCAGGGGGCGCACCTCCCTGGTGGGGCCGTGGTGGGGTTGAGAGCGGTGGACGCGCGGCTGCTGGCAGGCAGGGGGAGGGAGGCTGGTGGGGTAGCTGGTGGGGCGCCTGGAGGGCGGATAGGCTCTTCTCATGGACAGCACACTGGGAGTGCTGATGTGTTACACAAGGGTGGTCTGTGTTTCGATTGGTGGAGAGATGTGGCAGGATCGGTGGATGGGGCGTCCATTGCCGCTGCTCCCACTCTGTGGATTCCGAGAGAGCAGCACAGGGCAGCACGCTGCCGGGGGGAGCATGGGGCACGCAGGGGGGGGGGCAATGAGTCACACATGGAAATGCATGACGCATGGGAGGCGGAAGAGGAGGCGAGGCTGACAATGGGTGATAGTGGGGAGGAGAGGGCGGAGACGCGTGAAGGTGTGGGAGGGCAGCGAGGAGGAGAGGTGAGAGGCACAGCAGCCGCTGTGACCAGCACCACCCCTCTCCCCCTCTCCGCCCCGCCCCCCCAGCGCCTGCTGGATGCGTGGCGCCGCGCGCTCAAGCTGCAGGGGCTGATGGGGGCGCGGGAGGCACAGCGCATGGGGGAGAGCGTGGCGGGGCAGTGGGTGCAGTGGCAGGCGGGCAGAGGGGAGGGGGGGAGTGGTGGGGAGGGGCGGGGAGGAGGAGATGGGGCGTGTGGAGGAGAGGTGTGTGGAGAGCAGGCAGGGTGTGATGTGGTGGTGGTGAAGCATGGGTGCGGTGCCATGCAGGGTGCTGCCGTGACCAGGTGTGGTGCTGCCGTGACCAGGTGTGGTGAGGTGCACTCCTGGTGCTGCGGGGTGATAGCGAGGAAAGGGATAGTGAGACGAATGGCAGGATGGTGTAGAAAGATGGGGAGGGGAAGGTGAGGGTGGGCAGGAGATGTACAGTCGTGGGACTTGGGAAGCCTGTGGTGCTGTGTGCTTCTTCATCCCCCCCTGTCCAACCTCCACCCCCTCTCCCCTCTCCTCTCTCGCTTTTTCCCCTTGACTCTCTCTCATCACAGGTGGTCGGTCATCGTGCCATCCGAGTGGCTGCAGGCGTGCTGGCACCCGTTCATCCTGCACGGTGCACATGCCATCGGGCTAGCCGAGAGGCACACGCTCTTCACAGCGGTGAGTCGCTCTTCACAGCGGTGAGTCGCTCTTCACAGCGGTGAGTCGCTCTTCACAGCGGTGAGTCGCTCTTCACAGCAGTAAAGTCACCTGTTCTCCTTTATATGTTCCAACCAATACATGTCTCTCCCGTTCTCTGCCTCTCTTCCCCCTGTAACTGCCCTTTAATCCCCCTCTTATCCCCCCGATCCCCTTCTTATCAACCTCCTCTCTTGCACAGGCGGGTCTGCCTCTCTTTCCTTACGACTACCCTGAGACGTTCGGCTACAGGTGCCACGTGGCAGCCTCCTATTTGCTGCAGCGCGCCCGCTATGACCGCACACCACCCTCCAAGCGCCCTCTGTGCCCCCCCCTGCCGCCTGCTTGGGCTGCTGCTTCTGGCGTGTGGGGAGGGGCGGGGGAAGGAGGAGAGAGAGGGAGAGACGGGGGGGAAGGGAGAGAAGGGGGTGGAGGGGAGGCAGAGGCGGACGTGGACTTGAGGGTGGCGCGCTGCTCTGCTCGCGCGCTCTCCGCCTTGCTGCCTGCTGCTCTGCGCCACGGCTCTCGTGGTGCTGCTCACGGGGATGCTGCTGACGGTGAGGGGGGGGGCGGCAGGGGATTATGGGTGGATGGGCGTGTCACAGACCAGGGCGGGAAAGGGCACGCAGGGCAGGCGGGCAGTGGAGGAGGTGGGTGGAAGCTGGGAGCGGTGGGCGGGGCGCATGGCTCACGGGTGGGCGGGGCGCATGGCTCACGGGTGGGCGGGGCGCATGGCTCACGGGTGGGCGGGGCGCATGGCTCACGGGTGGGCGGGGCGCATGGCTCACGGGTGAGTGTGGAGTGGAGGCGAGTGGGGGAGAGGGAGAGAGGGTCGACCACATGGGAGGAGAGAGGGGCTGATGCTGCTGGTGGGGCATGTGTGGCGGATGGGCATGGAGGGGGGAGCGTGGGCATGGCAATGGATGTGGACTCGCCTGCGGCATGCCCACCACTGCCCCTCCATGCGCTCTCAAGCACCGCAGCGCCACCACGGCAGCATGAGCAGCAGGGGACGTGCATGGTGGCGGTGCGAGTGGTGCCGGCGGGCAGGGGGGCAGCGCAGGCAGCAGCAGAGCTGTGTGTGCCGTCGCCTCAAGACTTCCACCGCTTCTGCTTCCGACGCAATGGGGCTTCTGTGCACGGGTGGGTCCTTCCTTGCTCAGGTGCCACGTGTGCTTGTCCATGCATGATTAGAAATGTGCATGTCCATCCATGCGTATAAAACGTGCCACGTGTGCATGTGCAAGCATGGGTGCACCATGTGCGTGCTCTCTGTGCCACTCCAATCTTCTCTATCCTCGTCGGATCTGCTGTGAGCGATCACTCACCTCGTGCCACTCCCCTGCGCCTAGGCCCAACTCTCGCTCTTGCCCTTCCCCTCCAACTACCGCCTCTGCCTGTCTACCCTGGCAGCGTCCGTGCCTCTGCCTGGCGTGGAGTTGTCCTCCCTCCCTCTCTCCTCCGCACCAGGCTCGGCTCCGTACCTGTTGCCATGGCTCGGAAGACGAAGCGGCAGGTGCAGAAGCAGAAGCAGAGGGAGAGGCGGCGAGGCACAGAGGAAGAGCAATATGTGGCGAGCTTGAGGGAGACGGAGGGGCTGCAGAGGAAGGAGGGCGACGGAGCAAGGGGAGGGGGTCAATGGTGTGGGGGGCCAAGGCGCGGGATTAGGGAAGTGATTGGGTTTGTGACGAGTGCAGCACCGCGAGGCAGGTGAGGCCATGTGCACAGGGGGGGCATTGCTCGAGGGAAGGTCGGTGTATTGAGGGAGGTGGGGGGAGTGTGGGGGTGGAGGGAGTAGAGGGAGGGGTTGGGCAAGGGAGGGTAGCAGTGTAGTGTGAATGGTGGTGACAATTGGGTCGAGGTAGCTAATCAGATGTCTTGTTTGGGGAGGGAAGGTTTGCAAGTTTGCCCTTTCACCCTTTCCCCTCCATCTACCTCCCAACGCATCCCCCAACACCCATTGCATGGCGCGGAGCAGCAAGAGCCGAGTGTCGCTTGGGTGTGTGCGAGCATCAGCCTTGCACGCAGCTGCGTGCCGCCAGTACTCCTCCACCATCCCCTCCCTCTCCACCATCCCCTCCATCTCCACCACCTCGCCCTCTGCCGCGCTTCTTCCTTCCGTGCGAGTGCTGCTGCTCATGCGCTGCCCCGCCTCCTCTGCCTTCCGCCCCGTGCTCGTCTCACTGGCTGCGGAGGACTCAGGAGACCTGGCAAGCACCGGATGGTCGTGAGAATGTTCTCACATATCAGGGTAAACCACCCTGAAACCCCCTGATTGTAGTGTATGTTGGTGTCACAATCAACTGTGCAGGAATGAATGAACTATGAAGGAGTTGGGTACAAGTACTAACCCTAAAGTGTTGCACCCCTTGTAGGCTAACCCACTGTAGCCTAGAGAGAACACATACAGTTTGAGGAGGTCTACCGGGGGGGGGGACTGGTACCAGGAAGAGAGGCGAGAGGGGAACCGGGTGGGACGCGTGCGGGTGTAGCCTGTAGTAACAGACAGACTCGTCAAAGGTGACGTCCTGGGAGGAAAAGACGCGACGCGAGCGCGGGTGGTAGAATTGCCACGGCGGGGCATCGGTAGGGAAGCCAAGGAAAACGCAGCGGAGAGTGCGAGAGGCAGGGCTGACTTTATCAGACTAAAATAGTCTGATTGTCTGGAATCTCAGGGTATTTTCCTACGGATCCTGACTTTTCAGACTTGTAAGGATTCAAACATGAGTACCTCAGACTTCCTTGTTTTTGGATACTGAGATTTTCAGAGTAGTGACTTAGCCGATAATGGGTCTTCATACTACAGGGAGTACGGATCCTGAAATGCGGATCTGTAATTTCTACGTACATTCCGCTACGTCATATGTTGCCAGCGTATGAACACACTTCATGGCGCTGTCACGCGCAGAATCTGTCCTTGGCAACTTTTGCCACCCTTTTCCCTTGGAAATCTGCCAACTTGGCTCACTCTTTCACTCACACGGGACCATCACTGCAGCTATGCGGTGTCAGTGAGGGAAACTCTGTGCTGGCGCAGCAAAGTCGGTTAGCGCTGCACCCCACGTGCTACATTCGTGGCAATGCCGTGCTACAGTGGTTGTAGTGTCTTCTGAGTACTTCAGACTTGTGTTTTTGCGGAACCTGAAAAATCAGAGTAGCCATTTTCTGGGAAATATGCCTTGGACTATTTTTTTTCAGAGCCCCCAGAACATCAGACTGGGTTTTTTTGAATAGTCAGCCCTGGCGAGAGGAGAGATTGCTCGCTTTGGCATTGCGAATTAAGGAGAGCGCGCCCCAGACCCGAAACACCGACGCATCGCCAACCTTCCCCGTCCACCGGAGTGTGGGCGAGGTCTTTGGCTTAGAGACACGGGGCTAGAGGTTGAGCTGATGCGCAGCGTATCGGACCGCAAACGGCCACAGAAAGTGGGGAGCAGCCGCATGGATCATGGAGGCATGAGCAATCTCCATGATCAAGCCAATGCGACGCTCAGCAATCCCATTCTGCTGAGGAGAGGCCGGAAGCGTGAACGACTAGCAGATGCCCTCGTCTCGACAGAACTCCGCAAGGAGGTCAGAAGCAAACTCACCGCCCCTGTCAGAGTGCAGACGTAGAACTGGGAAGTCCCGACAAAACCGCTCGCGCAGCTGGCAACGAGTAGCACGGATCCAGGGGATCAAAACACCGCTGACGTCCGTCTTGCGCCGCAAGGGGAAGACAGTGGTGTAGTGTATGTAATCGTCAACAACCAGCAGGAAGTAGCGCTCCTGGTCCGTTCCACCGACGGGGGCCGGGCCCCAAACGTCCGTGTGGAGAGTCTGCAGATGAGTAGTGGTCGGAGGAAACTCGGAGGAGTGAGGAGCGGCGCGCTGCCGCCCCTCGATGCAGGGAAGGAACGGCGGTGCAGGCGAGCGCTGTAGGGAGGGCAGGGACATGGGAAGGCCAGAGACAAGGAGACGGGAGTGCATGCTATGGAGACACAGCAGCGAGAGGTGACCGAGGCGGTGGTGCCAGAGGAGAGTCTGGTGAGAGGGTACCCGACACGAGCAAGGCGCTGCAAGCTGACCAGACGCAGACACCCGACTCGAGACAGTCACCTGACCTGACTCAGCCATCTGTGCAGACGCGGTGGTCAGTGTGTACAGGCCGGACACAGGCTGACGAGTGAATGTAGTAAGGTGACGGCCAGTCCGTGAGCACTTACAGAACGCCACACGCTGTTCTCCACGAATGAAGGTGTCAACCCATGCATCCTGGAGAACTCCGTTGCTCAACAAGTTCAACGAGAACGCGGGGAGGTGGAGACCTGAGAGAGACCCGGAGGGGACTGTCGGACACGGGAGGCCAGTAGAGGCTTGCGCAACTACTAGGCCCCCCAGTGGGGTCAGCCAGTGAGACTGGGAGAGGTGCTGCGAGTGGTGTGACTGTGGTGCAATCACGAAAGAAGCAACGTAACGCGCCTGAGTCAAGCGGAAAAGTGTGCAAGGCCTCAGCTGAGGCAGGACCTGTGTTAGTAGACGCACTAGCACCTAGAGCGTCGGCAGACTCACGAGCACCTAGAGCTGCAGCGGACTCACTAGCACCTGGAGCGACAGCAGACTCACTAGCACCTAGAGCAGCAGCCTCTACACAACCAGGGACGCACCGCTGAGAAGCACACTCGCGAGGCCGCTGCAGGGAGAAGGTGCTATGCGGACGCTGCTGCCGCCGCTGTGTAGTACCCATAAAACCTAAGCCTCCACCACCAGGACTACATCGCTGAAAAACCCACTTACGAAGCTGCTAAGGGGTGGGGTCGTCCGGGAGAGGCAATGACAGCTGCTGTCCACCTCTAGCCGCTGCAACTACCGTGATAGTGGCCATGACAGGCAGTGACGGTAAGTAGCAGGTCCAGCACCTCCAGCACCAACAGCACCTTCTCCAGCACTCCCAGCAGCACCTCTAGCAGCAGCAGTAGGGCGAGCAGCAGCAGCAGCAGTAGTAGCAGGAGGGCGGCTCGGACTGGGCGGCGTGGCTCAGCCTTGGCAGCGCTGCTCGGCAGGGCATAGCGCAGCAGTAGCAGCGTGTGCAGCAGCAGCGCACTCGGCAGCAAAGCGCGCTAGCGTTTTTTTTTTTTTTTTTTTTTTTTTTTTTTTTTTTTTTGGAAAATTTATAATAATTATTATTTTTATTTAGGGTTGCGGGGCGCGCTGGCGCGCTTAGCAGCGGGGCGCGCTGGCGCGCTTAGAAGCGGGGAGCGCTGGCGCGCTTCGTAGTGGGGTGCGCTAGCGCGCTGAGCAGCGGGGCGCGCTGGGCTGCGGGGTGTGCTAGCGCGCTTAGCATGTCAGAAACAACTAGCAGGCTCAGGATGGATCACAACGTCACCACACACACTGAGCAAAAGCAAAGGGCCACAAGGCCAGTTCACATGCAGAGGGTAATATATACCAACAACAGCAAAGTGATCACTACCTAGCAAGAACAAGCAGCAGGTATATATATATATACATATATATAGGTCACAGTACAAGCAAAGTCTACTGCAAGTGAGGAAACTTAGGCACAAGGCCTAACAAAGTACAAAAGCGCTGATGGTCACCAGACAGAAGTGCCTTGGTGAATATATCAGCAGTGTTGGCCTGAGTGGCCACGTGAGCAAGACGAAGCTGACCACGCTGCTGCAACTCTCGAGCAAGGAAGTAACGCAGAGCGATATGCTTCGTTCTGTGCTCCAGTCTGTGCTCCAGTCTGTGCTCCCGGCACAAGGCAATGGCGGCCTTGTTGTCTACGTACAGAACTGGAGGAGAACAAGGCCGCTCTCTCAAGTCGGTCAGCAGGTAGGTGAGCCAGCGTAGCTCCTGTGCAGCCATGGCTGTGGCGTTGATCTCAGCCTCACAACTGGAGCTGAGAACAGAACACGAATGTGTAGACCGCCACGAAATAGAGCCAGAGCCAAGGCTGAACGTGTAACCCTGTAACGACCGCTGCGTAGCCAAGTCGTCAACCCAAGAAGAGTCTGAGTGCCCAGTGAGGACAACTGGGCTCCGCACTCCAAGCACGAGCCCCATGCCCGATGTACTGCACAAGTAGCGCAACACCCTCTTAGCAGCATCCATGTGCACCTTTCGGTGCCTACCAGGAGCCACGTAGCGAGCCAGAAGGCCAAGAGGGTACGCAAGGTCAGGTCGAGTCCAGGTCATCAGGTACATGAGGCAGCCCACTAGCTCTGGGTACGGACCACTCGGCTCTACGGACTCGTCCGAAGGTAAAGCTGAGAGCGAGTGGCCTGTAGCCAAAGGAGTGGGCTGTGGCGAGGACCATGTGAAGCCGAAGCGCTGAAGGACTTGCTGCACCATGTGTGACTGAGTCAGTGTGATGGTGTGGCGTGCTCTGTCCCGGGTGATCTGCAAGCCAAGGTAACTGCGCAGCTCACCCAGGTCTGTGCACGTGTGTCTTTTCTGCAACTCCGACTTCACCAGGGCGAGAGCCTCAGTGTCAGCAGTGGCAAAGACCAAGTCGTCGACGTACACGAGGATGTAGAACGGCGGCAGCGAAGTGTCGGTGCGCAGAAACAGCGACGGGTCAGCAGTGGAAGGGGCGAACCCAAGAGCCGCAAGCGTCGTCCTTAGTGTGTCGTGCCACTCACGAGGCGCCTGGCGGAGACCGTAGACCGGCCGACGGAGGCTCCACTGGGTACCAGGAGGGAAAGACCCAGTGAAGCCAGGTGGGCGGTGCAGCCAGATCTCCTTGTGCAGACTACCCTGTAAGAAGGCTGTGCTGAAGTCCAGAGAGTGAAGCTCGTAGTCACGCTGAGCGGCGACATGCAGTAGCACCCGAAGAGTGGTCATCTTTGAGGTGGGGGAGAAGGTCTAGAAGAAGTCAACTCCCTGTCGCTGACTGAAGCCTCGTGCAACGTAACGAGCCTTGAAGACAGGCGGAGAACCCAGCGGCCGCTTCACCTTGAAAATCCACATGCCACTGACGATGTTCGCCCCAGGTGGGGGAACCTCGTCGACGTAAGTGCTTGTGGACTTCCAGGATGCCATCTTTGCGTCCATGGTTGTCTGCCACTGAGAGGAGTAGGGACCCGTAATCGTCTCTGCGTAAGAGCGCGGGATCGGGATGTCTAGAGCATCCGGGTCTCCCTCAGGGGCAAGCATCATGGCCACGAGATGAGGTACAGTAGCCGCAAGACACTCAAAGTCCTCCTGCCTGTCCTCAAGGACGTCCGTGCCAAGAGCACACTCACCC